GACACGATAACAATTAGAGCTACAGAATTTTCCCTCAATGTGCCTTTACAAATCATTTTGTACAGTTCCATCTTTGAGTTTAGAGAGCTGTGAGTCACATGATATTCATTCGTGGATTAGTTCTCCTTTCCCTACTTGCAAACTGTTGCTCTATGAAAGTAATTTTGGAAAATTAACAGCATTAATAGGCAGAATAATGGGAAAAAAACACAAAATTTATGCTATCTACATTTGACTTTCCCTCTTTTCATTCATCCCATATCCACCACCTTCATATTACTACATAAAAATTTCCCAAGGAAGAAAAATTAATTTTTCTTGTAAAAGTTTGTAGATTCCATTTTGGTTCTCATCTTTGTATTCCTAGAAAATCTGCATATTCCAGAAACCAGAATGTATGAATACTGGCAAGATTTTAAGACAGTTTGCAGTATCAGGGATCAGATATTATATATAACATCTTTGATTCACTAGAGTTCTAATACCTCTCAAGAGTATATAAAATTAAGTGACTATGCTAAAATGCACCTTACATGATTTATTTTCATTTATTTACCTAGACAGTACTTTTAAACAATAGTTACTTTGTTAGATACTCTTCTAAAACCAGAAGAAGTGGAGGAAATAACTCATCATATAGTGTCACACCTGACAAGAGTAAATCAAAGAATAATATGTATAGAAACTCATAGGGAAATATTAGACTAGATCCCATAATAGTTATAGTTGTATCAGATCATTAGAAATGTTTTTGTCTGTTAGCTGCTTACCTTTTAAAATTTAGAAATAGAAATTAGTCCCTACTGTTTATTACATCTTGAGTTAATATAAAATAGTCTAAAAGAATAAAACTCTAATAAAATCTACTTAGTGTTCTTTATAATAGTAATAATTTAAGAAATGTCATATTTTGATAAGGCCTAAAATTTTAGATTTTGTTTTTTAGCTTCATAAGACAATTTGATTTTAAATCTATTCTCCAGGAACACAATAGTCTGTTGTCACTGATATCTAAGCATCACTTTGAAATTTATTTCCTTACATCTCAGAGGGGCTGGAGTGATAGCACAGTGGGTAGTGCGTTTGCCTTGCATGCGGCTGACCCGGTCGACCCGAGTTCGATTCCTCTGCCCCTCTCAGAGAGCCCAGCAATCTACCAAGAGTATCTCGACCACATGGCAAAGACTGGCAAGCTACCCGTGATGTATTTGATATGCCAAATACAGTGACAACAAGTCACAATGTTACTGGGCCCGCTAGAGCAAATCAATGAACAATGGGAGAACAGTGACAGTGACATTTCAGAGATATTTTATTTTTCTGATAGAGACATGTATCTTTTCCCTTGAAATTAATTCTCAATAAAGGATTAAACATTACATTTTTTAATTGTCTACAGAGTTTATGAGCATAAAGAAAAATATTTAAGCTAAATGCTATCTACATATTCCCAATATCTATGGCCTCTCCAGAAAATGTTATGTTTGCATGAAGTAGTTGTTCAATTACTTTAAAAGTGAATGAGGTCTGAGTAGCTCACCATGGAGCATGAATGCATTGGTTTTCATTTGTCATATACTTAGTGTGATTTTAAAATCTGCTCATGTGAAAGTTCATTTCTTTGAACCTTCTTCCACTATTTAAGGATAAGTATATTTAGATACTATTAAATCAGTTGAAATTTACATCTTTTTAACGAGTCTCATGGGAGTGGGTGGATGCTTGGGCTACATCTAATACTGCCGGATGACCATGGAGGGTCATATGGTGCCAGGGATCAAAATGGAGTGGGTTTTATGCAAGGTAAATAATCCCTACACTATCTCTCCAGCCACTAATATGGGTATCACATTTTAAGACCATAAAGCCCTCCAAGTGATCTACCATACATACTGCTTTAAAATAAAATAACTAGACAGAGTACATCCACAACAAAATAAAATGAAGAGTGAAAAGCAATTTAAACTAGCCTTAACTACATCTCATTCAAAGGATACTTTTTGTGAACATTGACTTAGAAATCACTCTTTTCATCACTTTCCCTTCATGCATCACGTGCTGAGTTTGATATGAGCTTAACAATGTAAACTCTCCTAATGGATTTCAATGAGGAAGCTGTCAACACCCATCTTCTTTGGCTCAAAATTGTCTTGAACCTGCATCAGAATCACCTGGAAGACCACATACGATGCAGATTCCTAGGCCCCACTTCAACATTCTGGTTCAATAGGTTCAAGAAATTGCATGTCTAGCAGAGTTCCTGGCCTAAATAAATCACGGAAAAAACATTCATTGCAGGTGTAATGTTTAGACCAAACTTCTGAGATGTGGTATGACAGGTAATTATAATCCTTTACTTCAGGTAAGCCAAATGATTGCATCCTTTTTGTTTTGGTGACTCAATCAAATAACTCTTAGGAACTCACTGCCATTAAGTACGAAATGCTTTTCATACAATACTAGCAATGGGATCCATTATAGATCTTTTAGTTACTAAATATAACAGAGGAATGCATTTACTACTTTTACCCCCACGTACCTATCCTGTCTTTCTTTGCCTTCTTCATATGACTCTCACTTCAGGAGTGAGTGTTTGGAGATGTATGTATTTGGAATGTTAGAGAATGTTAGACTACTCATTAATTTCTGTAAGCGTGTGTTGATAGTTGTTCAGATGAAACACTGGACAACAGTCCAGGTGATGAAAACACAGCTAACACCCACCAAAAGTGTGGGGAAAGGAATAGAAGGCCTTTGGGGGTGGGGTGGGGGTGGGATTGGGAAAAGGGAGGTGGGATAGTACAGGGCACACAACTTACTCTCTTGCCTCCTCTGTCCTTTCAATGGCCCCTCTGAAGGCTCCTGTCAAATTCTCCTCCTGTTGAAAATTTGTACATGTAGGCTCTCTAGACAAGTTCTCTGTATTTCACAGCTTCTCCTTCTATACTTTTGTTCTTTCCTTTTTTACAAAACAGAAACACCAGATCATCTCTTTACACTTAAATGTCAAAGCAAATACACTAGGCATTTAAATATAGCAAATATAATTGCATTCCCGTCTAATCTGATGAGGCTAGGGCCCTGTTTAGATAACATCAAAGTCATCACACTGATCAAAGTTGTATGTCATGAATAAATGCTAGTGACCCTGATACAAATAACAATGATAATAAAGATGATGACTAACCTTTGTTGAACATTTACTAGGAACCAACACTGCATTGAAAGATGGATAATGCATTTTTATTAATGATCAAAACAAGCCTATCAGAAAAGGTAATCAATATTGGTGAATTAGGAATGTAAGGAAGTTGAGTTTCATAAAGAGTTAAGTAATTTCCTCAATGTCATCTGATGAATAAAGGGTGAAACTGTGATCTCCATCAAGGTACTTTTATTATAGAGTCCATCATCATAATGACTGTCTGAGCTGTTATATTTTGTGCTACTTTTTTGTTACACTGTCATTCAACTTTATAAATGTCACAATTACAAGACATTTACAGGGTCCTTAACAGAACTACAACATCTAAAAAGTAAGAATATGTTCCATCTTAAAAAATGAAGAATTGGAAATTTAAGGTAATTTTATTTATGCCCTGAATAACCTTAATGCTCTGCGTATCCTATAGCTTGCGCTTAACACAATGCAAAAGCCCATGGTACAGGAGGTGTTTTAAATATTTTCTTTCACACACTGTTAAGGTGATAAGCTACAAAGCAATGACATCCCTTTCTCAAAAAAAAGTGATTTGGGGGGAGGTATTTTTTGATATGTTTTGTTTTTGTATTGAAGGCCATACCCAGAAATACTCAGGGCTTATTCCTAGCTCTGTACTGTAATCACTCCTGAAGGGGCTCAGGGGACCATATGTGATGCCAGGATTAGTCCCGGTTTGGCTGTATGCAAGGCCAGTGTCCTATCCATTGTACATCTCTCCAGTCCCCAAAAGTGACTACATTTCCTATTAAATAACAATTACAAGTTTAAATGGAAATAACTATTCAAACATCATTATTAGGTATCACCACTGCATCTTTAGAATTCATAAATGATAATATGGCTCCATTCATTTTATGATAAACCTGATATCACCCTGACCTGTCATGTCTCATAGGCATGTTTTGGTAGAAACGTAGTTATTGACAATACATATATGAGATATAATTTTTCCTATATTAGCTGTTGGCCAGTGTTTCATTTGGAGTGATTAATATCAGACCCATAAATATGAATAAATAAGCTAATTCTCTGACATCCCAAGAAACAACTTCGCACTAAGTTAATGCAGCTTTGCAAATGAAATAAGCACATTCAACCAGCACTGACTCCAAGAATGTGTATCTATCCAAACAGTTCTCTGCGCAGTGGTAATTCTTCTAATCCCTATAATTTATTCATCTCAGGATACACTCCAAAGCATTGTTTGCATGTGTTATCCACTAGCTTTAAAAACAGTATTCATTATGGGGAGGGAGCAGATGCAATTTGTCAGAAAGGTAGTTGCTGTGATCTTTGTGCCGAGAAACATTCTGTTTGGCAAACACTTATAACCTATTGAGTAAAGTGAAAGAGCAGTTGTGAGGATCCAAGACTTGCGTCCCTTACTTCCAAGAGCCTCCTGAGAGCCACACTACAATCACTGTAACAATTCCAAATCTCATTCTAGATTCCTGTGTATCCTCAAATTGGAAAGAAACCTGTAATTGCCCAGTGGTATTTCCAAACACCCTTAAATTTGCTATTTCAAGCCACAGACACCAAATGGACACAAAGGTAATGACCTTGATTTTCATACACTTATCAAAGCTGAGGTTTTAAAATGATGAATGTTCCTTTTATTCTTGGCACAAACCATCACAAACAACTTGGAAGACTGGGGGAAGGAAGATTCTTTAAATGAAAGTATGAAACCATTAAAAGGATCGGACTCAATTTTCAAAGATATTACAAACCACCAAATGGCCTCAGGAAGCTAACACCAGATTTTATGTTACAGGTCATTCAAACAGTGAGTGCCATGGACAAAGACGATCCCAAAAATGGACACTATTTCTTATACAGTCTTCTTCCAGAAATGGTCAACAATCCAAACTTCACCATCAAGAAAAATGAAGGTAAATATGTTAGCCTGGTAAAACAGGATAAACTATGATTGATAAAATTGGATGTGATTTAATAATTTCTGAAAATGATAATATTTTTTTCACTCGTGAACAGGTGAAATACAGCCTATCCGCCTAATGACATGGCAATTACATCACTCTTTCTTTTAAATATTGAAACAATAGATAAGAAGACTGTTAATGTGAAAATTAATTTCATCTCAGGAAATATTTTCAATCATCTTGCTTCAAATACATAGAGTAATATTTAACCCCTATGAAGGTTCTAAGAGTCTTGATATAGTGAGATATTTATTGAGGAGGAGCTGGCTTATACTTTGAAGTTGTTAAGTTTTAATTGAATGTTTACCAAGTCTTTAGGGAAAGCCTATTCTAATTTTGTCTGGTTTGTGGGTACACATTAGAGGTATTTGTTTTAAGCTTGTACTAACTCTGACAATAGCAATTAGATCAGAAAATCCTTCTTGAAGGACACTCCTAATCATTATTATTTTGAAACTAATATGAACTGATTTGATTGTTAAGTCTTACACTCACAGAGAATATTTAATCCATTTTATTATTTCCTGAAAATCAAGCTTGGATTAACCATTTCCCTTAACTATTATCTATTACATATGAAGGTCATAGATCATTCAAAACAAAAAGATCTGTCTCATCTGTACATTTTTGTTTCCTAAGCTGCTTTCTATTTAACAAGGATTTTTAACTGTTTGTTTTGACTCGGATGTATTTAAGTCTTGGTTTCAGCTGTTTTAGAATGATTAGCAAAACAAATTTATTGTCTTAGGCTTTCATCGTAATTTACTATAGGCATTTGTTTAGATTTCTAAATGGTCTCTATAAAAGCAATGATCAGAAGAGTAAGATTTAATTCATATCATTTGGATTATTTGCTAGCTCTGTTATAAGGAGGTAGTGAATTTTGATAGGACTTTAGTTAATAAAATAAAAATATTTCATCTATATTATTAATTATAAGTTGGACTACATTCTAACACTCTTGGAGGATGCTAAGGTGGATACATTAGAGAAAAGGAAATTTGAAGGGTGCCTTGTAGATATTACTCACTTAACTTACTTCTGCTATAATATAAAGACGCAATCCTATTTCTTTTCAGGAATGGAATACTTGTTAGTCTCCCCTGATTTGAAAATTTAATCCAAGCACATTGCCTTTTTATTTTTTGTTGACACTGCCAACATTTCTTTTTTTAAGGAGAGACTATGTCTTTTTCTTGGACAAAAGTTTCAGAAAGCCCAAACTGAGCTGACAATGTGCCTAACTGTGGAACACACTTACTTTGACTGTCAGATAATAAATAATTATTTTTTTCTGTATGATATATCCTTCAGTTAAATATTCTGTGAAGAAAAGTTGTTTTCATTTCAAAGGTTCAAAACTATTCAATAGTACCCATGCATCCTTTAAATTTAACTTATACTATCAGAGACAATGGCCATAAAATTTACCACAAAGACTTGTGTATGGAGAATGAGAGGTATAATAATGATGCAGAGAATGTATAGTTTGGTACTATATTATGCACAAAACCTTTTATGTGGAAGATACTGTAGTACAATGAACAGATTTCATACATTTTGTCTAATTTAGGGAATTTGAAGAAACTACAAGATTGTGGATTAGTACATCTCATTCTGCATATCATTTTTAATAAACATTGTACTTGAGTACTTAATGGCATATGAATAATTTGTTTTATTCTGTAACTTGCAAATAGAAGTTATAGTTTTGACTTACCTCACAATGGTATGTGTATGTATATGGGGTGGGGGAGGGTATAAAATAAGTAAAATCAATGAGAAGTAAACGGTGTTTGGCATTGTAAAGCGATTTGGAAGATAAAGGCACTCTCTGTGCCATAATCATTTCTTTTAAATTATGTGGTTATTTTCAGAGTTACCATAATTTTTTTCCTTCAAACTGGGGCTTTTTTAAGCATGGGGGTTTGCTATTTATATTCATGTCTGTAAAAGTTATAAACCAGGACTCTCTTATGAAAACTAGGACATATGTACACTGTGACTTTGGATTTAGTATCCAAATATTCAACATCTCCATAGAATAAATCATCAAGAAGTGGGTCTTTGAGTTAGCATGCCAAGTTTATACTTTATCTCCCAGTTTTCCAGATCATATATTCATGACTTTTTTCCAGACTTTTCTTTTTAGCATGAGGATAGTTGCTGGGAAAACAAATGACATAAAAAAAATGAGTTCTATAGAAGCAAAGTGATGGTAAAAAGTCAGATTTAAACTATGGAAAATAAATTGTGAGTCTATTACCCATCCCCTTTTAATAATGAAAAACAATTCAAACCATCATATAGTTTAGAATCCCCAGCAATGCTAGGGGGAAAAACTAACAAAAGTGAGTTAATGAATAGAAAACCAATTCACTAATTCCACATTCTGTGTCTTCAAACTATAGCGTAGTTGAGGTTTGAAATATGAAGCATAATCAAGTGGGTTAATTCTATTTAGAATTATTTTATTTCTTAAAATAAATTATTTTATTTCTTAAACCAGTCACTGGTTTCTTCTCTGAGAGCTCCCGGATTTACAAATTCCACCTCAGCGAATGAAGCTTAAAATTTTGAGATAGCCAAGATATTCGAACCTGTAATTGATGGGTAGATGAGCTCCTATTTAATTAGCTCATTAAAGGAGCTGGTTTTCAGTATTTGGGGTTTTCTAAGGAACTTGCAATGTGTCTTTCAATTTGAAATTACTGTGATAGTTCTCCTCTCCTTTAGATTGGTCCTCCTGCAATTTTCAACTGACTAATTCATAATCAAAGACAAAATGAGATAGAAATTAGCTGTCTCTTGTCTCTTGCACAGTTGAGTGATTTCACAAATAATTCTCTTTCTGAATATATCAGTATCATATTTCTGCTGGAATAAGAAAACGACCTTCAGTACAGAAAAAGGTAGCAGCAAAGGTGCAAAATCTGCTGAGTCTTTTATATCCTATGTAAACACCAAACAATTCACAGTATCTTGAATTTCCTTAAATTACATGGCCCAGACACAGATTTCTCCATCTACCAGTTCAGTGGATTTAAAAAATAAATGGATATATTGCTGACCACATTTCAGGCTTCCAGGCTAACCGTGAAAATGGAAGATAATCAACAATTAAATATAACAAGACAGGGAAGTTAAATGGACCTTTTACAGATACAGAAATGTGCTTCTTTCACAAATTTTTTGCCTATAAAATCCTGTATGTAAAATACACAGAATCCAAAATCATCACTAAGTAGTCTGGTGAAATTAGAATATATTCATGTTTTATAGGTGACTATTTCAAACCTGTGTATGGGCAAATTAGGCCTTTGTATCTCTTCTCTCTACAGATGAACTGTGAAAGAAAAGGTTTAGCATGAACTTATTTTTAATGACAGAATGATAAGGTTCAAGACAAGGCAGAAGATGAACTTGAGAATATGTTAAAAATTATTTTTCAACCTGAGACTTTCTACTTGATCAAAATCATTTATACTAATGAGAACTTCATCCTAAAGGAATGATTGTTAAAATTATTTGGATAATACAGATGCTGGCTAGAGCTTTGAGCAAGTGCTTTGATTTATCTCAATATCCATAATGTAGCTACCTGGTTTTGTAGCTACACTTTATGTTTTGTTTTATGGGATTTCCATCAAACTGATTGGTCAAATTCAGCTATATTGCTTATCCTCTAGAAGCACCCTCTATAAGAATACTGACGACACACAAGTTATTTGAAATCTCACTTCCCTAATCTATAATGACAGGATAAAATTTCCTGTCTGCCCCATAAATGTGCTGTGCTGGATGCATGGACCTCATTGTCTGGATAGCTCTATATCTGACAGATAGGAAAACACTCATTAGTAAGTGGGATGAGATTCTATTTATACTAATTAATTCCTAAGTCCTTGTACTGTGTAGCATTTCTTCTGGTTAATCATTATTTAACTTCCATCTCTGAAGTGTTCACTCTGTTTTAGGTTTTGGCATTGGTTGTATGGCTCAATGGGCTGAGCAAGTGCTTTCATGTTGGAAGCCTGGCTTCAATCCCCTTCACCCGAGGGTCCCCCAAAACCACTGGGAGTTAAACCAGAAGCAGAGGAAGGAGTAATCCCATATTATAACTGGCTATGACCCCTTCAAAACCAAAAGCTGGTGGGTTGTAAATGTTATACAATAAATCAAAAGTGTACAGATTGTAAAAAATCCTTTCATCACTAGAAGGCATTATAGAAAACAAATTTAGCAAGGTTTTTAGTCTAAAGGGTGTTAAAATAGAAAAGAAAGTCGATAAAATGAAGAAAGAAATACAATGAAGAGAATGGGAAAGAACAGAAAGTTGGGATGAGTAGAATATATATGAATCATGGAAATGGCTATATTCCTGGATGTTTTTAAGATATGGAGAAAATTGTTCTCCTTTGCCAAAATAAAACTCAGTTTTCTTCACACAACAACCCCAGCTTCTAACTTCCTAGTATTATTTTTCCATTCTAGTATAGCAAGTTGTTCAAATCACCCAAATCTCTAAGCACACATACTCTGTGGGAATCATTTTGCATAAGTCAGAAAATCAAAGATATCCTCTCTCTCTTTCTCTCTCTCTCTCTGCTCTTCAGAATAATCTCAATTTACTCAGAAATTTGAGGTACAAAACTTAAATTTTCTGCCTGGTACTAGAAGTGAATTTTCATGAGCCTAGACAGAAAAACCTCTTTCTTCTCTTCTCTATTCTCTATCTTCTGTCTAGTTGAATACTCATCCCTGCCTCTCCTGTATTCAGGATGTAGGTGGAAAGGCAGAGAGATCCTCTTTCCTCTGCTTAAAGCCAGCTCTGACCCATGTATCCCATAGTGAACCTAAATGGTCTTTGATCTACCAACAAAGTAGGCCTCTGATAATCAAACTGCCCTCTTTCTTGCTACTCAAGGCTTGCTTAAAATCTCCCATTA